CCGGTTATAAAGAGAACAAAAATTAAGTCAAGTTTAATTTAAATTATTAAAAGAATATGATAAGATAACAACCAGATAAGCCAGAGTATTCAGAGCGTTATCTCGATGATCAGTTTGAATATCGTTATGTCGTTCTCCCAAGAGAAATGGCAAACGAGCTCAAAAACAAGGGCAAGCTGAAAGAGGAAGAATGGAGAGGAATGGGCATTACCTAGAGCAGAGGATGGGAACATTATGGCTTTCATAAGTAAGTTCGAAATTTCTTATCCCCATCTTTTCATAAATTTCGCATGCTATTCATCTTATCAAATTTGATTGAGTTGCATGCGAGATTAACGGAAGGATATATATAAGTTGAATTGATGTTAATAAATATTGTCTAGGGCTGAGCCTCACATTCTATTATTCAAAAGGCCACTAGGGACTGATCCTAAGACTGGTCTAGTTTCGGATGAGTTGTTCAAGCAACATGAATTAAAGGCCTAAGAATAACGTGAAAAATTCTTAAGTACTTTAGTAATGTGAATCAATTTATTTAGCTCTGCTGAGCAGTAGCCCACTTGCATTGTTAATTAAAGATGAGAAAGCAATAAAGATGAAAGCTTCTGCCAGCCTATCATTCGGTTTGCTGGTAGAATCACTCCATCCTATACATTATACCTTGTAGATATCACTTTAATTTCTTAAAAATTCGATGTGTCGCTTAAATTTTGCAGTCTCTCTAATCTGTTCAATGCTTTATATTCTATATACACTATTTAAAACTTAACTATTAAGAATAGAGAGATTTAACTATTTAATTTGAACAAACAGCATACTTAGTTAATAGGCGAAAAATCAATTTATAGGATATAATACTTAGTGGATGAGTCACTGATTTGATCTAGACATTTCATATAATGCTTTTTTCTTGCTCTTCTATTTAGGAACTTGAAACTCAAAACTAAGAAACTCTTTCATTCACACTCTTCTTTTTAATGTTAAATTGTGTTTCTACATAATCCTTAGTATATCTACCTTCTAATTAGCTGTTTTAACTTATTTTTGTAAGAGCTGAGTTATTGTATGTTTTTCTGAAACTATGAATGTTCTACGCTTTTGTTGAGGGGAACATAGTACCATTCATTACACTATTGTTTCCACCTAAATAATTATCATCTTAATTTATAGAATTGTTATGAGTCACAAAAGTAGAGCCCAGAGCAGTGGAGTGGATGTTGGAAGCAACACTCTTATCAATGCTCTTATTTTTTCTATTCATCATTTAGTAAAATTTCAACTTAGAATTTGGTTTTAGTGTGTAAGCAGTATTCATAAATCTGTCTTCTGATTGCCTATGAATAGAATTTGATCTTATGTATTTCGGCTTTGGTCCTGTATAAGGTGAAGTAGGCTATGATTATAATCTCATCTTTAAAGAGTTAAGCAACTTTGTATTAACTTGTATCTAAGTATTTTCTTTCTTGGGTGAATTATTAATGGAATTAGTTGGCATTTAGCTGATTGAACTCACTCTATTTTGACTTTTCAAGCTTGGTAACTTTTCAATAATGGATTGCTAGAGCTATTAAAGCCTTTTAGGAGACTCTAATCGTTTTACTGGTGAAAGCTCAATATTTTATCTATTCTAATTAATTGAATTATTGAGAGAAAAGGAGACATCTTTAGAATCCTGAAAGGAATTAGTCATGAGATTATTAGTAGAGATTTGTAACGTCTTTTTCATTAAACGCTGTTTCTTTTCCTAAATTTTTTACTTCGAAGTCAAATAATTGTCAACTGATGTATAATCAGTGTACTTGCTCTCTAGTTTAATTTCACCCTACGATTTTTATTTTTCAAAAAGATGTGTAGTTTTTATTTTATCAACCATTCTTATAGCTACTTTTCTAATTTTAGTTTCACAGTCATTCATAATCTACTTCCATGCTTGAGAATGTTATTGAAGCTTAAGAAAATCTTCTGTTTTCATTGATAGTACGTTTGCTGTTTATGATATACATTTAGCTGAGGTAGTATATATAACGGACTAGTTAGTTTGATAAGGTTATCTTGAACTACTACTTGATTATGATTTCATATAACTTTGAGTCAACTAAGACAGTTAATTAGGCTGCATTAGTTGTTAATTTTAAAATTACTTAGCTTAAATGATGTATGGTTTAACTATATCTTCTTCACCAAGTAAGTTCAAATTACCAATAATATATAGTGAAACTTCTTATTCCTTATTTTACTTTTATGCTTTGAAAAATCTCTATTAAATTTTCTTGGCTTTTAATGGATTGTCTTTGATCTTTTCAATGTCTTCCTCATTTTTTTCTGGAATTTTATACTTCTTAAGAACCTCAAATTCACCTGTTTGTATGATAAAAACATTATCGGCTGTATCCCCCTCCTTGAATAGTAAACAATCCTTAGGTGTTATTTTTAAATTCAAAAAATGACTCATTTTGCCTAAAGTTGTGCGAGTTAACTTGCTAAATGCAGGTATTTTCTGAAGCAAATTAATTTTTTCATTAAAAACTCTTCTCTCAATGTTACTCATTAGCTTACTGAATTAATATTTGCTAATGACTCCAATCTAGCAATCTTGAATACAAATGGCTGAAGCAGTTCTTTCATTTTTATTTTAGAGAACATCTTCCTCGCCAAACAAATCACCCTCTTGCAAAATAGTGTTCAATTTCTAAACTAAATGGTGTAACGAGTAATTACTAACATTCATTTCGTTTAATGCATTATTGCATTTTTTACTGCTAGATTGTCCTTTTACATTTAATCCACTTAAGAAGAAATCCTCATCATCATCAAGATTTTCAGGAGCACTCTCATCTTCTTCTTAAATGTAGTCTATGTCGTACTCTGTTGTCTCGTTAAAGCCTTCTGCATCATAATTCTGATCTGACTCATAATGATCTTCAAAATCCGGTCTGTGTGCATGTATATCGGACATATTTCGGTCTTTCACAATGCTATTTGGTCTTAATTTAAATTCTTAACTCATATGCTTTAATGGATGCATCTTTCTTCTTGATTTATGAACAGGGCTTCAGGGATAAGCTTTTTAACTTAGAAACAAGCCTATTTTGCCTTTAAAAATAATGTAGACCTTCTCTGTTGAATCTCCTCTCTCGTAAACTTGCTAGTCCTTACCATGATTTTCAAACGTCATCTTTTAAAGCAAGTCCACAAAATCTGGCTCTTCTGCTCTGTGATTTATTAGAAATTGGCATTTTCTGAGGATTGAAAGTTAGCTGGCAAAGTCTTAATCCATACGTTCAGTGTTTAATTTATCCATTGCAAATTATTTATATTTCCAATTTATTTCACAACCAAATTCTGCCTATATTTCAAAGTTTGGGGTTTTGGGGTTTTGGGGAGATCGGAAGA